CCCATCCACCTCATGCACACCTCCTCAGCTTCCGCCGCCACCCGGTGCTGCAGCACGGCTGCCCCCAACGGGCCCACCAGATTCAGCCTCGTGGCCGCCGACACCACGTCCCTCATTGTCACAAACACGTAAGCTCGCTGGGCCGTCTCGGGCCCAAACCCCAGGAGCCCACAGACGAGCCCAAAAACCGGAGCATGGTGGAAAAAGACACTCCCGCCCCTGAGGGCCTCGTCCCTCATAGCCTTGAGATTTGGGATCTCGGAGAAAACGGAGGATGCGACCCTCATGAGAGCCGACCCTTGAGAGACGGAGGCCTTGCGGCCAGCCTCGTTTGTGAGCATGGCGTCCAGTAGACGGTCGAGCTTTCGCCAGGTTTGGGAGTCGGGGGAAACGGCCGAGGCTTGCACGAACGGGAGAAGGAGGCTGCCGGTGTTCTCCAGCACGTGGATCACGAAGGTTGTGAGGTCTTCGGGAGAATTGACGAGACGGGCTTGGGTGACGGCCTCGAGTCCGTAGGAATGGGCGAAGCCGCCTGTGGGGAGAATGGAGTCGAGCAGCTGCCATTGGCTCCATTGCCGGAGAGACTCCGGCAAAGGTGAGGGTTTGGCTTTCTTGGTGTTCTCTCCTTCCATGTTCTGCTGTTATCAAGAAATAATCCGGGAAAAAAAAATGAGGGGAAATGCAGTAAATTCGTAAGTGTCACTCATTGAAATTAGATACTCAATTGCTTTTTTTTGCAGACAACAGAATTTTGTCTCCATACACATTATTAGTTGAGATACATAGACTAAAAATGCTAGCTTTATTGGATAATCAATGATCTAATTAACAGATTAACAGAGATAATGTTGTTAATTTCCGATGAAGGAAACGAGACAAAACGAACAACAAAAAAGAAAATGTAACTAATTATTGGTAGTAGTAATCGGAAAAAAGAGTTCTTGATTTAGTGACTGAATTAACGGAAGAAAACCATAATCAATCAAACTAGGATTACAAGAGCAACAAGAATTAATGAATGTATATTCGATTATCTTTCCAGATGTTTTAAGGTTTACGTACGGCGGTTGAAGCAGAGAGGATTGATTGATTACCTGAAGTGCAGCTTTTGAACGGCTATTCAATAGAATAACAGAGTAGTTGAAGAAGAAGAAGAAGAAGAAAAAGAATGAAAAGGGGTAGGAACCGCGAGATAAAGAGTAGTTGTGATTCCTTACAAGTTGTAATTTTTTATCCTGTGCCTGCCGATGACCTGTTTGATGATATGCCTCTTAGAGATCAAATGTTTGTGTAGTGATGGATATTAACTGCCAACCAGTGTACTTGAGTGGTGAACTCGCATTCACATCAAACATGATTCTGTACTTTAGACCATTTCATGTGATTTAAAATTATGCTAATGCTACTCTCGACTTTCGTTCGTCTGCAGCTGCAAAAACACAAACAGCATTCACGGAGTGAGACTCAGTTGTCAGATTCAACAAACACCATAAAACTTCTCTCAGTAAACATCACAACAGTTGCGGAACATGAAGATTTCGAACCAAACGTGGCTCAGAACCCCATGCCCGAAAGAAATATTACTCCTGTCTGCCAGCTTCTGCACCAGAACTGGCTCGAGATTTTCCTCTTTCCAGTCCCAAAGCCGGCCCTCGGTTGAATTTCACCTTGGGCCCGTAAATGGCCTCCAGAGGGAAATTTCCAAGCTTGTTCGGATGTTAGAGCTTCATTAGTGCACTCACCAGCCAGTTGATCAAGTACCTTCTTCGGCTGTTGATGAGCATCTGCCTCCAACAAGCAGCAGAAAGGGATTTGTTAGCCATGAAAACCATGTTGTACTCTTCTTGCGAGAGGTTCTGAAAGCCCACTATTCTTTTCTCACCCTTCTCGGCCATGAAGCAAATGTGGTTTTAGGGTCATAAAATTCACTCCAAACAAGGCGAGATTTAGGTTGTATTATATTAGGACTTGACCTCGGACTGAAAGAACAGGCTGATCCAATTTACTAGAGGTAGCCATGGTTCAAGAGGGACAGGTGGGTAATTGGTAAGCAACTAAGTGCATTATTAATAGCAGACTCCCTTCATCTGTTACATTAATATGTAAGAAAATAATGAAGGTTATGCTGAACCAGTCAGAGGGAAACTCTCCTTTGGTGTGCCATCAATACATGGCACACTATCATATTTGAGAACAGCTCGAATATTGCTTGCCAAATAAGAGTAGCCCTACGAATGATTTGCTTAATTATACTGCTGCTGAGTGAATCAATACATCTATTTTTGTAACATATATATGTGTGTTACATGGCTTATGCGGATATGGAATAAACTAATGCAGAGGGTAGCATATGCTTGAAGGTTTATGCTGAGGAATACCTTATAAGAGACTTGTTTGTAAGCTCGGTCGTGACTTAAAAACTTTTTTCCTTCCCTGCCGCAGTCCATGGATCTGTTAACAAAGCGAAGATAAGTTGTGGGAAGGAGATGCCAATTCAAAAAAAAAATTGGAATATGTTTATTATACCCATCAGAATCCATAAATTGACATATCTATTCATATATTCTTCACTTTTGATCATGGTTTAGATGATTGAATCCCGATTAACCTCGGCATATATCATTAATGTGTAGTTTGGCACACGTTTGCAAGATTAACCTGGGGATAGAAGTCCATTTTTGAAACGAGGACCTGTGTTTTAAATGGTCAAGTCCTCAAATGTGTCCATACTGGAAAGCATGATATAGAGAATTAGGCTTTTTCCTGGGCAGTTCATCAAAGCTGAAATAGCCACAAGCTGGTTCAGAACTTCATAAAATCTGGGAAATAACAAGCTGGTTCAGAACTCCTAAAATCTGGCACGAATGCAGCATTTTAAGTTTTTCATTTCGATGCCAAAACAGAAGTTAACTTTGCCAAATGGAGCATTTTTCTTAATCTACATTTTTATTCGGTAGCTAAATCGATATTAATTTGAACTTGAATTGGTGGGGTGCGCCAGGCCCGAGCAGTAGTGCAACACTTGGGCGACGCGCGAAGGCCCGAGAAGCAAGCTACCCATTGGGCCTTCCCCCTAAAAAAATTAATTTAATATCATGTGGGCCGATGGCCCACGTATCAGATATTAAACTGATAAGAACAGATACTACACTTGATCTTAGCCAAAAGGCCGAGAAAGGTATGCTTAATTCAGGGCTAGGGCGACATATTATATACGTTAGTTGGTTTTCCTTTTCAGCATCTGTAAGCGATGTGGGAAAAAAGTTAAAAGACATGAACATGCTCTTATTTTGATTTCGAGGAACAAAACTTTCAGACATAAAACATCATTGTCTTTCAACTTGAAAGTGCCCTCGGTTAACGTTTGACACACCTCTGATAAAATGTCTACCTGACAATTTCAAAATGAGAGTTGTAGTTCTAATGAATATGCAGCTGTGAGGGCTGAGAGGACTGAAACTAGACGAACATGTCTCTCGAGACTGGTCATGGCTCGACAACTCATGATCTTTATGCAACAGATGCATCTGTCGAGTGAGCTCCAAGGAGTCAGTAGAGAACTGAAAGGGCCAACCAGTATGAGCCCGGCCCGAATGCTAGGGTTCATGTAGGGGTTTAGTTCTCCCATGTACGGGTTTGTAGTTGGAATGTTTTGTGATTTATGGCCTAATTAGCATAATAACATGGATAACATTGTTAATTTTCGATTAAGGAAACGAGATAAAATGAACAGGAAAGGGAAATGTAACTAACTATAGATAATAATAATCGAAAAAAATAAAGACAAAATAAAAAGAAAGAAAAAGAGTTCTTGGACTAGTGAACGAATTATCCATAGAAAACCACAACTATATCAAACAAGGATTACAAGAAAGAAAAGAACAAAGAATTAAAGAATGCAAATTCGAATCATATTCCCGATGTTCAAATTTTACGGTGGTTGAGGCAGAGATGATTGGTTACCCGAGGGGAGCTGTTAACAGCTTTACGATTGCTCTAGTAGAATGAGAGAGTAGGTGAAAAGAAGCAAAATAGACAAATGAGTGATATGCCTCGGAAAGATAATATGTTTGTGTAGTGATGGCTACTAACTGGCACCACTATACTTTAGTGGTGAATTCGCATTCACCTCACTCATTATTGTGTAATTTAGAAAAATTTCATTGTTCAGTCGGTTCAAGAATCAGGACAATGGAAAAGCGAGAAAATTGGGATAGAAAAACGAGAGCCTGAAGCTAACGTCGTAATTATTGAATGCTAAGGCCGGCCCGCGGTTGGTTTTCACCTTAGGACCGTAAATCGCCTCCAGATGGAAATTTCCAAGCCAGTTTGGATGTTAGAGCTTCATTAGTGCACTCACCAGCCAGTTGATCAAGTACCTTCTCCGACTGTTGACGAGCATCTTCCTCCAACTACCAGCAGAAAAGGACTTGTTAGCCATCAAAACCATGTTGTACTCTTCTCGCGAGAGGTTCTGAAAACCCTCTAGTCTTTTCTCGATTGCTAACTCAAGATAGCATCATTTTCGGGCATGAAGCAGATGTGGTTTTAGGGGCCTCAAATTCACTCCGAACAATGCGAGATTTTGCTGCGAAGATGGTTTTGGAGATGGATTTAGGTTTGGGACGACCGAGTTGTATTGTATTGGGACTTGACCGGGGATTGGAAGAACAGGCTGATTCAATATACTCGAGGTAGCCATGGTTCGAGAGGGACAGGTGGGTAATTGGTAAGCAACTAAGTTTATCATTAATAGCCGACTCCCTTCTTTTGTTACGTTAGTATAAGAAAGTAATGAAGGTTATGCTGAACCAGTCAGAGGGGGGCGCCCAACTCTCCTCTGGCGTGTCATCAAGACGAGGCACACTATCATATTTGAGAAAAGCTCGAGTATTGCATGCCAAATAAGGGTATCCCTACGAATGGTTCGCTTAATTAAATTGCTGCAGCGTGAATCAGCACACCTATTTTTGTAACATATATATGTGCGTATTACATGGCTTACGGGGATATGGAATAAACTAATGCAGAGGTTAGCATATCCTTGAAGGTTTATGCCGAGGAATATCTTATAGGAGAATTGTTTGTAAGCTCGGTTGTAACTTAAACATTTTTCCTTCCCCACCGTGGTCCATGGATTTGTTAATAAAGCGCGAAAAAAAGCTGAGGGAAGGAGATGCCAATTCGAGAAGGATTGGAATGTGTTTATTATATCTATCAGAATCCATAAATTGGCATATCCATCCGTATAATCTTCACTTTCGATCATGGTCTAGGTGATTGAATCCTGATTTAAGTTATGTCGTGATCGTCTCTGCATATATCATTAATGTGTAGTTTGGTACACGTTTGAAAGATTAAGCTTTGGGTAGAAATCAATCTTTTAAATGAGGACTTGTGTTTCTAATGGTCTGGAGATCATTTCCGATTCCAAATGTGGTTGAACATACAAATAAAAAGAAGTTTTATGCCATGGAACTCATCAAAACGTGTTTCTTTCTTTTTTTTTTTCCTGATACTGTGTCAATTCTGGAAAACATGATTGGAATTATGCTTTTAATAACAACAACTAAAAGTAACAAGTTGGTTTAGAACTCATAACTTAATTTGAACTGGAATTGGTGGGGTGCGCCAGGCCAGAACAGTAGTGCAACGCTTGGGCGACGCGTGAAGGCCAAAGTAGCAAGCTACCGATTGGGCCTTCCCCTAAAAAAATTAATTTAATATCATTTGGGCCGTAACCCACAGGTACCAGATATTAAACTGATAAGAACAGATACTACACTTGATCTTAGCCAAAAGGCCGAGAAAGGTATGCTTAATGAACGGCCAGGGCGACTTATTATATAGGTGAGTTGGTTTTCCTTTTCAGTTATTGTAAGCCATGTGGGAAAAAAGTCAAAAGACATGAACATGCTCTCTTATATTGATTTCTGAGGAACAAAACTTTCAGACATAAAACATCTTTGTCTCTCAAATTAAAAGTGCCCTCAGTTAATGTATCACACACCTCTCATAAAATTCAAAATCTACAACGATTTCAAAATGAGAATTGTAGTGGAATATGCAGACTGAAACGAGACGACATGTCTCTCGAGATTGGTTATGGCACGACAACTCATGATCTCTATGCAACATATGCATCTGTCGGGGACGATTCGGAGTCCTGGCCCGGAAGTTCCATGGAGATAGTGGAAAATTGAAACGCCCGACCAGTCTGAGCCTGGCCGGAATGCTAAGGTCGATGTAGGGGTTTTAGAGTCACGACTGCAATTCGGTGTCTCAAGAAAAAATCTCCTGTGCCTTTGCCTTATTTTCTTGTAGAACAGTCTCTACACATTGTAGAACAACTTTGTTCCTTGCAATAGAAAGTACAGGAGATTTTTTCTTTCTTCATAGAGAGGAAAGGTTCTTATTGTCTTGTGTACTAAAACTACTGCAATGTTTGCCCTATATAATTTACTTTTACAAACGTATTTTAAACTTTAAACCATTTAACTAGGAACAGTTCGAAGCTCATAGCAAATCACGTCCAAAGAAAATTATACCAAACAAATTCATGTTTAATTACTTCAAAAAAACAATGATAACAAGGTAAAACCTAAACTTCTAGTAGAAACCTAGCGACCATGAAAAAGAAGTGCTGTCATAAATTAAACTAACAATCAATTTCGAACAATCGAAAATTGACCATAAGCCGACTGATCACAGAACGAAAAACATACTACTCGATCTCCACGCCTAATTCTCTATGCCCAAACGAAGTTGTCCAATATGCAAAAGTCCTCCTCAGTCAACGCGATCGAATCGGGACTCAACTCAGGCATATCCGCCAGCAACTTCTCCATCACCGCAGCATCGTCAAACGGCAAATTAACAATAGCTGCCGTATTATTCTCATCCACGTCGCTACTCATCCTCTGCTTCTTGTGGCAAACACCGTTAAATTCCCTTTTCTCGACCTGTTCTCGATTTGTCGAGACGCGATTAATCTTCTTCGTTTCCTTGGATACCCGAGTGATCTTACAAATCACGTACTCAGTGTGCTTCAACTGCTCATTGTCTAAACACGGCCCGGCCAACGAGTACTCGTGCATGATCCAATGATCATCGGCTTTTCGTCTTTCCCGACAATCAGGCTCGTACGTGAACATCTTCATGTGGCCGATTAGCAGCTGTTGTTCGTCGTGTATCTCCCGGGACGTCTGGCCGCTCCAAGTGCCGGGCCCGGCCCGCCTCGCGATGCGGGTTTTGCCGCTGTTGATCTTTGAAAGCTTGGTGAGCACGTAAGCCACGCGCGTGACCATAATTGTCCCGTCTGGGAAGGGTTTTTCGGAGACGAAGTCCCAGCGGGGGTCGGTGGTGTCGGGAAAAATGAGGCGGGGGTCAGCGTGGGGCCCGTAGACGTCGGCCTCAAGTATGAGGTCGTTGACCGGAAGAGGGAGGCCCTTTGACCACTGAAGGAGGTAGAATTCGATGAGCTCGCCGTCGCTCGGAAGGAAATGGTGGCCCGGCGGGATCATGGCCCGAGTCCAGCGTAGGTGGTTCATTATTCGTGCTGTTTAGTTTTTTTTCTATCGTTATGATCAAGAATTTCAAGGTGATGTTTATATAGTGTAGTTTTGTTTCCTTATTCCTAATGAAATAGGCAAATTATTTTTATATTATCTTACAATTTTTTTTTATATTATACTTTTATAATATTTCTAATTTGGATATTTAAAGTTTGTTAAAATATATGTAACAAACTCCCTAAAACAATAAAATTGTGTAAATAGAACTAGTGTCCATGTACAATATAATAGAAATAAATGTATAATTAAATATTCCTAATAACGAATAAAATACAATTTCATATTTCAAATATATAGATTTGTTATATTTAATAAAAATGATGGAATATAAAATAATATACTAAATGATTAGTCATTGTAAGACATAAATTAGACTTATTTTTTCTATATAAATGATATGGGACAACTCACAAGTGAATATTCTAATAGTATTAGTAAGACAAATCGTTATTGTTTTTTATGATAAAAGTAAATTATCATGATAAAAGTAAATTGTCCTGAAGTATATTAGATATATTGATGGTGTTGTCAACAAAATAAAATTCTAATTAAAATATAGGAACTATAAATAAAATTACATTACATTATATCTTTAAAAATTGACATGCATATTTATATGTATTTTAGACTAATTTATGAAAAATCCTTTTATCTCATGTTATATATCTACATTCGTGTGAAAGGCAAAAAGTGTTTCAAAGATTTTGGAAGCAAAGAGTTTTCAGAAGTGATAAAATCTCTTGATAAAGTTCTTCATTAAGAAGCCAAACAGAAGCTTCTTTATCATCTTTGCCAATTGGAGTAAATTTTTTAGACGGCAGTTTTCAAAATTAATTTGAACATGAATCGGAGGGGTGCGCCAGGCACGAGCAGTAGTGCAACGCTTGGGCGACGCGCGAAGGCCCGAGCAGCAAGCTACTCATTGGGTCTTCCCCTAAAAAAAATTAATTTAATATCATGTGGGCCGATAGCCCACGTATCAGATATTAAACTGATAAGAACAGATACTACACTTGATCTTAGCCAAAAGGCCGAGAAAGGTATGCTTAATTCAGGGCCAGGGAGACATTTTATATACGTGAGTTGGTTTTCCTTTTCATCTTCTATAAGCAATGTGGGAAAAAAGTGAAAAGACATGCCTATGCTCTTATTTTGATTTCGAGGAACAAAACATTCAGACATAAAATATCATTGTCCTTCAAATTAAAAGTGCCCTCGGTTAACGTATGACACACCTCTCATAAAATTCAAATCTACCTGACAATTTCAAAATGAGAATTGTTGTTTTAAGGAATATGCAGCCGTGAGGGATTGAAACGAGATGAACATGTCTCTCGAGACAGGTCATGGCTCGACAACTCATGATCTCTATGCAGCAGATGCTTCTGTCGAGTGAGCTCCAAGGAGCAAGTGGAGAAATGAAAGAGCCTACCAGTATGAGCACGGCCCGAATGCTACGGTTCATGTAGGAGTTTAGTTCGTCCACGTACGGGTTTGTAGTTTGAACGTTTTGTAATTAATGGCCTAATTAGCAGAATAACTGGGATAGCGTTGTTAGTTTTCGACTAAGGAAACTGAGATAAAATTAACAGCAAAAGGGAAATGTAACTAACTGATAGTTTGGAAAAAAAGAAAAAAAAAAAAGAGTTCTTGGACTAGTGACCGAATTAATCATAGATTTATATTGTGTTCCGTGTCCGTGCCCAAGGAATATTCCTCGGGAGACACAATTCCTTCCATGAGCAGAGGATTAATAGCAGGCGAGAAAATCGGGATGGAAAAGCGAGTGCCTAAAGCTGACCATGTCTTTGAGGCCCAAAGCAACTAAGTGTATCATTAATAGCCGACTCCCTTTGTTCCATTAGCATGTAAGAAAATAACGAATGTTAAGCTGAACCAGTCAGAGGGCAACTTTCCTTTGGCGTGTCATCAAAAATGAGAAGCTATTATAATCGAAGACATCCCGAGTATTGCATGCCAAATAAGAGTAGCCCTACGAAAGGTTCGCTTAATTATACTCCTGTTGCTGAGTGAATCGAGACTCCCAATTTTCGTTACATACATATGTGTGTTACATGGCTTATGCGGATATGGAATAAACTAATGGAGGGTAGCATATGCATGAAGGTTTGTATATGTCGAGGAATATCTTATACGAGATTTGTTTGTAAGCTCGGTCATAACTTAAACTTTTTCCTTCCCTGCCATGGTCCATGGATTTGTTAATAAAGCGCGAAGAAAAGCTGTGGGGAGGAGGTGCCAATTCGAAAAGGACTGGAATATCTTTATTATATTTATCATAATACATAATTTGGCATATCCATCCATATATTCTTCACTTTCGATCATGGTTTAGGTGATTCAATCCCGATTCAAGTTATGCATCGATTGTCGCTGCATATATCAAAGATGTGTAGTTTGGCAAGATTACGCTTTGAATAGCAATCGATTTCGAAATAAGGACTTGTGCTTCTAATGGTCTGGATGTCCTTTCTGAAAAGAGGACAAATAAAAAGTAAATGTTTTTGCCAAAAAGCTGTATTCATCAAAAAGCTGAGGCCACACCACTATTTCCACAAAATAAAACTACAGCAACTGAGAAAAAGTCTCAAGAGGGGCTGCAGGAGCAAGGCCAGTCGCATTAGCAATCAGCCAACATCAAATTATGCCATATTATATACAAACTCACATCCCGTTCATTTTATTTTCATGCCAAAAAGATATTTGTTATTAATTTAGCCAAAGGAATAATTGAACTTAAACTGCTGTTTGTCTTGTGATCTTATTAATTTAAGTCTAAATAATTTAATTTAAACTGTTGTTTGTCTTCTGATCTTATTTAATTAAGGTCTAAAGGTTTTTTAACTGGAATAGGAGGGGTGCGCCAGGTCCGAGCAGTAGTGCAACGCTTGGACGACACGCGAAAGCCAAAGTAGCAAGCTACTGAGATTGGACCTTCCCCCTACAAAAATTAATTTAATATCATGTAGGCCTTAGCCCACGTATCAGATATTAAACTGATAAGAACAGATACTACACTTGATCTTAGCCAAAAGGCCGAGAAAGGTATGCTCAACTTAGGGACAGGGCGACTTGTTATATAGGTCAGTTGGTTTTCCTTATCTGTTTCTGTAAGCGATGTGGGAAAAAGTTTAAAGACATGAACTCGATCTTACTTTGATTTATGAGGAACAAATTAATAGTGCCCTCGGTTAACGTATGACACACTTATCATAAAATTCAAAATCTACCTGACAATTTCTAAATGAGAATTGTAGTTCTAAGGATTGTGCAGCCGTGAAGCCTGAGGGACTGAAACTTGACGAACATGTCTCCCGAGATTGGTCATGGCTCCACAACTCATGATCTCTATGCAACAGATATGCATCTGTCGAGGTCGATGGGGTCTCCTGGCCCGTGAGCTCCAAGGAGACAGTGGAGAATTAAAGGCCAGAGCAGTATTAGCCCGGCCCGAATGTTAAGGTCCACGATGGGGTTTAGTTCTCCCAACGGGTTCGGGGATGGTTTGGTTGGTCCGTATATTGTAGTGTTTAGCAGTTCTAAAGTTTTTCTAATGACATCTAGGTTTAACACTGGTCGTTTGTTTCATATGGTGGTTCATCTCTTATTTCAATAACAGTTTCATTTTATATTTACGGTTCTTATTTTGGAATAAGGTATGGAAGAAGAAGCATTTTCTAAATAAGCTAGAGCTGTCTGATCACATTTTATATACTCCAAATAGAATGATATTTATTCTTGCACACAGGCGGCAACCTCGACCATGTTCTGCTGCTACGAAACAATACGTAAAAAATGAGGAGAAATGCAGTAAATTCATAAGTGTCACTCATTGAAAATAGAAACTCAATTGATTTTATGCAGACAATCCAAATTGTCTCCACACACATGATTTAGTTGAGATACTTGGATAAATGCTAGCTTTTATGCAAGCTCACCAGCCCCAACTTTGCCTGGACATGAATTCTGGTTAGCACGAGCAATTTGTGAGAATCTTATAACAACAGTACGGGGATCTTCTAATGAAGTGGAAAAGATATATCCAAGGTAAATCATATAGAACGTTGTTAATTTTCGATTAAGGAAACAAGATAAAATGAATGGGAAAGGAAATATAACTAACTATCGATAATAATATTACGGTGGTCGAGGCAGAGATGATTGATTACCTGAGGGGAACTGTTGAACGGCTTTACGATTGCTTTAATAGAATGACAGAGTAATGTGTAAAGAAGGAAAATAGACAAATGAGTCATAGGCCTGTGAGAGATAAAATGTTTGTGTAGTGAGGGCTACTAACTGGCACCACTGTACTTGAGTGGTGAATTTAGACAATTTCGTTGTTGAGTCAATTCAAATTTGGAGATTCATTACTGCAAGTTCGGCTGCTGATGAGCATGAGCCCCAACAAGTCCACGTGATCCAAGACACTTGCACTCGATACACCTAAAACCGTTACATATATGTGTGTTACATAGCTTATGCGGATATGGAATAAACTAACGCAGAGGGTAGCATATGCTTCAAGGTTCATGCCGATGAATATCTTATAGGAGACTTGTTTGTAGTAAGCTCGGATGTAAGTCAACCTTAAAGCTGTGGAAAGGAGATGCCAATTCGGAAAAAAAGATTGGAATAGGTTTATTATATCTATCAGAATCCATAAATTGGAATATCCATTGGTATATTCTTCACTTTCGATCATGGTTTAGGTGATTGAATCCCGATTTAATGTGTAGTTTGGCACATGTTTGCGAAATAAATCTTTAGATGGAAATTGAACATACAAATAAAAGTACTGTTTTGCCAAATGTGCGACGTTTTTTTTTTTTCTAAATCTGATGGTGTGTGTGTCTTCATTCTGGAAAACTACAGCAACTGGATCAAATATAAATTTTACCACGTATTGTATTTTAGAGTAATTTTACAAACATAATTAATCTTCTTGAAATGCA